CCCCCCCACCCTTGAGTCACCGTTCCGCTGGGTTCACACCTATTGTTGTACGCTGCCCGTTACACGGGCATTCTGTTGCTCCCCCACCAGAATGTTTCTGATGTTTATTTAAGTTTCTTGTATCACAAAAACTAATAAAACATATTGAAGAAAAAAAATTATTTTGCACCTACAAAGAGGAAGACATGTTGTGTACATCACATGGTACAAACCACCAAAAATCAATTTTGCTTCCAGGTGATAATGCAATAAAACAAGAAAAACACAAAAAAGGAGGAGACTACTTTCTTAAAGCCTTATATATAAGTATACAAACTGGAACCCCCGTTCATTTAATTGTAAGTACCAATTGCTCACATACAGCAGTGCTCATATTTGCTCAAGGTACTTATATTTTAACCGCCTCCCAGCCAGCGTCAAAAAGCAGCTGGCCGGGAGCTCCCTGGATCTGAGCAGGGGTGTTTTTAAACATCCGCTCAGCCACGCCCACATGCGAGCAGGAAAGTGCCAACATTTCAAAACAGACATCGATGCCTGTTTACATACAAGCGATCTGCCGGCTCTATAGCTTGTATAAGGTGCTGACCGGTGCGGACTCTGCCCCCCTCCACGTCCCCCGCTGGTCCCAGACTCCGCTGTGCAAGGGGCGAGCCCGGGACCAGCATGGTGGCTCTGTGACAGGGGATCAGAGGTAGATCGGTACACAATCTCCCTCCGGTCCCCTCTCCGCTGTCAGAATGCGGAAGTGGTGTATATTACATCACTTGCACATTCTCGTGTCACTCTCCTGCTTCAGATGCTGGAGAGAAGCTGATGAAGCAGATCTCTGCTTCATCAGCTTCTTCATGGGGGTCCTAGGTGACATTAGGGGTCTTGGAGACCTGATGTCTCCATAAAGCGGACCTGTCACCTCTTTTGCTATCACATAGAGGGGTTTCTCAGCCCCCTCTGTGATAGCAATAAGTGGGGGAAAAAAATAGAAAACAAATATTAAAGTTATCGCTCGATAAATCGCTCAGTGTGAATGGGGCCTAAACTGATGAGCTGTAAAAGCGTTTGAAAGGTCGCCTAAGGCCAATTTTGGGTATGCTAGTTTTTTGCGATTTCGCGAGTGCGCGCAATTTTTAAGCTTGATATGTTTGGTGTCTATTTACCCAACGTGACCCCATCTTTTATGTTTTACCAAAAAAGTGGGTAATATTAGTTGTTTTATAACATAATGTAAAAAAAATTCTCCTTATTATAGTAAAAAATAAACCCCCCAGTGGTGATTAAATACTACCATAAGAAAGCTCTATCTGTCCCCAAAAATGGTATAAAATTCATTTCAGTACAGCGTTGCATGACGGAATAAACGTCAGTCAAAGTACCGCAGCGCTGAATACTGAAAAAATGGCCTGGCCAGGAAGGGGGTCTAAACACCTGGTCTTCAAGCGGTTAAATATATGTGACTGCAAATAATAAAGATGATTATTTTTTAACAACAAAGTGACAGAAGGTACTGTCATTGGTTTTGCAAATGTATTTAATTATGTTTTATATCTGTATGTTTTATATCTGTATGTTTAATGATGTATTGTATTATGTTTTATATCTGTATGTTTTCCAATATGTAAACAATATATGTTTTACAAATTAACATTTAATACAACTTTCAATACATGACATTGGATTACCACTGCACTATAGGGTTTACATCTACTTTAAAGGCTGTATTGATTAAAAAAAATTGCAAAGTCATTGTCAAGCAGAACAGCATGTGCATTTGTTCTGTGTAAATGGAGGCCAAAGTGAATGTTATTGTTATATTTTTTTCCTATGTTGAATGTAATATAAAAAAAATATTGCATTGTAGCCATTAGATGGCGCTGAGGAGCATAGGAAATAAATACTTCTCTTCTATGCTCTCCAGCTCCATTTAGTGAAACAATTAGATATTTACCTGATATATATTTGGCCTGAGAAAAAAATATATACCAAGAACATTAATTTTTCCTTCCATTTGCACAGAATACATTTTCAGGCTGTTTTGCAGGATGACTGGCTCTGCAAACTTTTTATATATATCCCCCAAGTGTTTTAGTGTCACAAAGTCTCACTGAAAATCTCGCTGAAATCTCAAATAGAGCCCTTTCGAAGGAAGGGGTGAAGGGTCCCTACTCATTTACTTGTGTCTGTAAATTTCGGCTTGAGCTATTGACAGGGTATTGAAAAAAGAGCCTAAAGCTTCACCTGGTGGAAGAAACTAAGAATTCATAATATTATTAAGCAATAGTTCATATCTGACTAAAACATATATATTTTTAAGATTTTTGTTTTGTTTTTTATTTACCAATCACTTCAGAATCAAACACAGCAATATCTAGAAAATAGGGCTCAACTATACAGTCTTAAATTCAGTGGTCCTAGTATACCACGGCCAGTGGAGGGTTAAAGCACAATCTGTCAGGATTGGGGCCCTGAATTTCCACTGGAGCGCTTAATCTGGGAAAGTGCAAAGTGCAATAAACTCTGGTGTCCAGGAGGCCTGTCACCAGTGTTGGTCCAAGATGATTTCTCAGAGGCCAGACGAGAGGTCGCACTTCACATGCAGGGCTTCCATCTTAATCCAGCATCCATCCAGCAGTAGCACTGCTCAGTCCTCTCCACCGAGAGTCAGCAGTCTCACCCACGGAGGTCCTGGACACCACTTCGAAGCTCTGGTTACAGTTCTTTGTGGCTCTGCCAAATAAATCTCTGCCACTATAGCTGTCTGCACCTAATCTCCCACTCAGGGACTTGCAGCTCTGAAACAGCTCTGCAGTGCAGTCCCTCTTTCCACTTTACACATGGCTGACTTCCTCTCCCCTTTCTCCTATCAGTATTTTGGCTCACTTTTCCCATGCTCAGGGCATACACACTCCCTGCAGCAGCATCATGGCTCTCTGCCCCTCAGCTCTCAGAGTGGGCTTCCTTAAGTAGGCCATATGCAGGCTTAAACAGGGCTAAAGTCCGGCCCTACGTCTTCCAGAAAATGACTTCTGTCCCTCCTACCTGGGGTCAATTACCCCTCCCTGGCGCCAGTGGGCGGTGTTACATGTCCAACTGCCACTGCAACCAATATAGTTCCTCCGTTCCTCCCCTCTCCTGGCAGCTATCCAATTGGCAGAGAGAGAGCAACAATCTAAAGGAAATGAGAACATACTGATGTGCAGCTTAACCCCTTCATGACTGAGGCCCTTTTTTCATTTTTTGCACCCATGTTATATTCCACATTTTAGGCCTGAAAATGACGTAAAACCCCCCAACATTATATATTTTCTGAATGCCAAGACCCTATAGAATAAAATGGTGGTAGTTGAAAATTTTTATGTTGCCCAATATTAGCGCAACTCCTTATTAAACCCCAAAATTTAGTGACAAATTTAATTAAATGCCCCAAAACACAACAAGTTACCCATTTTTTTAATGAAATATAAAAGATGAGGTTACAATGAGTAAAACGATACCCAACATGCCCAGTTTACAAATTGCGTGCGACCGTGAAACGGCGAAAAACTGCAGTACCCCAAAAAGTCAATAAAAGACGCTTTAAAAGCCCCCACAGGTCATCAATTTAGAGATACCCCTAAAATACTGGCCCTAGAATTATGCTCTCACTC